GCTCACTCTACACACTTACCCACATCCCCTCACACCACACACTCTCTCTTCTCACACGCTCACTCTACACACCCACATCCCCTCACACCACACACACTCTCTTCTCATACACGCTCACTCTACACACTCTTACCCACATCCCTCACACCACACACTCTCTCTTCTCACACATGCTCACTCTACACACTCTTACCCACATCCCCTCACACCACACTCTCTCTTCTCACACACGCTCACTCTACACACTCTTACCCACATCCCCTCACACCACACACACTCTCTTCTCACACACGCTCACTCTACACACTCTTACCCACATCCCCTCACACCACACACACTCTCGTGCATATTCACACACCACACACGCCTGTATAGTCACTGCCTTCATATCACACACACACTCATACGTGTTCACACAGTACACACCACACTCATCACACACTCACGCATATTCACACACTTTCACACACTCATACCATACTCCCACACTCACTCACATGGATGTGCCACTCATTTATGCCACACTCAACCACACCCACCACACCCCCACCCTGCACCCCCACGCGTGCCACACACGCACTTCCTCGCTCGTGCACTCACAGGCATACCACACCTGCTGATCACAAGCCACTGCCATCGCCCACGCAGCTGCTGCCTGGGAGTGCTGACCCTGTTCTCTTCCTGTGCCCACCACAGACTCTTGCAGGGGCAGCAAAGGCCGTACCTGAGCCTGTCTGCCACGAAGATGACCCTCCTTTCCAGGAGCAGGGAGGCGAAGACGCAGACCAGGTGGCGGACGCTGAGCGAGGAGAAGAGAGACTCAAAGTCCACGTGCTCCAGTCGTGAGTCCAGCGGGCGACACAGCTCGATGACCTGCCAGGGACGGGGCAGACATGAGCAAGGTGACAGGAAGCGGTCACCTGCAGGGGATGGAGCAGGTAGGAGGGGGGCAAGGCCCCTCTGAGGGACAGTGTCTGGCAGGAGAGGGCAGGTTTCTGGCTGCCTACCTCAGTCCCTGACCCTGGCAGGAAGTTCTTGATCACGATGGTCTTTCCCAGGGCTGGGAATGGGGCTTCCATCACGCTCCTCATGAGGGGCTGGACCAGGGCAGGCGAGATGCCCCGCCGTTTCTCCACCTCGTCCAGGATCTGCAAGGTCCAGATAAACTGCTATCCTGACGCCAGGCCCGAGGGACCTGAGAACCGCGGCCAAGGCCACTGCCTCACCTGGCCAGGTAGCACATCAGTGCCCCAACCCTGCCACCGCCAGTCCCTTTGCAGCCCCCGGAGAGGGGGAGGGTGTTGCCTCCCCTTGGTGCTGGGCTTGGCCATGGAGCCCGCGGTCTAATACGTGCACTCTTGGAGGACGTGAAAGGGTCACAGACGTGCTGGTCTGCAGACCTCCCTCAGCTCCCCTATCCGAGCAGATGCAGGAGACACTTGTGGTGTTCCAGCTTCAGGGGGACAGGAACCATCAGGAAGGACAAATCAAAGCCACTGCGAGATATCACACACAGACACCTTCACCATTGCGAAAGAAAAAGATATACATCACACACATCCACACGTACACACACACGTACCACAGTGAGATATGGACACACAGATACCACTTTTATAAGAAAAAGATATATATGACACACACATACACAATTTATATATACAAGGGGGTATACCCCAACCCCTCCCCAAAGTGGACTTTTTAAAAAAAGTTCTGTATTTATACTTTTTTAAAATAACCTCATCACCTTCAAAGTGCTCTCGATTACATTTGTCAACTCTGAGACTTCATTCTTGGAAACATGTTTCAAACTCATCTGTTTGGATGGCTGACAGCACTGCCTTCTTTTTTTTCTTCCCCTCGTCTAAGTCTTTAAATCGCTATTCTTTCATGTCCTTCTCCATTCACGGAAACAAAAAGAAGTC